GACATAATAAATAAAATAAATTCAGATATTTGACCAAAATGGTCGATATATAATTCAATAAAATATTTATTTATTATAAAAATATTATTTTTTTCCCATGTAAAAAAACAAAATTACTTTCTGAACAACCCAATAGAATCATTTTAATGAAAAAAATGTAATTAAAATATTAAATTATTAAACTAATAATGATAGACAATTATGCTAATTTTTAAGTAATTAAAATAAATGTAAAATTAATATTTTGTGATCTAATTTGATTGATTATATTTTAATTAAATTTTATTTCTGATATTTTTAATCATTTTTATTTATATTCAGTACTTAAACTTTATTTCAAATTTTTGCTGGTTCTTTTTCTTCTTAAGTAAAATTTCTAGAAGAAAGCATAATTAGTTACTGAAATACACAACACAGAAGTGATACATAACAGTATTGTAACATTTTATTTAGATAATTAAATATATATTAATTAATAAAATACTTAATTAAAATATTTCTCTTTCAAATAAAATGCTAACTTTTTAGTTTAAAAAAAAGTACTAAACATTAGAATTATCAAAGATGAAAATAGCATAGAAATAATAAAGCTTAAATTCAAATATTATTTCTTTGAGTGTTTATATAAATTTCATGAAACTTTAATAATAATTATATGGTAATAACTTATGTGCTACTTAAAAAGAAAATTAATCATGCTATTGAATTGAAATGAATCATTGCTTTTGACTTTATAAAATAAAAGCATACAAACTTTCTTCATAATAAAAATTCATATTCAGAGAAATAAAACATTAAAAAGTAGTTATTGCCTCTAATGTACTTTTTAACAGATCTGTTACAATTTTCTTTTATCTTTTCAAATCATTGCATTTGTAAGAATGCCGATTGGGGGGAATTTTATTCTCTACCGTCAGGATGGTCTAAGGTCTACACATGTGGGTGGCGTTTTATGAGGCAGCAAAAGACAAGTATTTTACAGAGGCAAATCATTTATTCTTGATCGAAATTTCTTACATATTTTTAGGAAAAGGTCCTTGGATTCAAAACTCCAAGATGTCTTCAGTCCTAATGATTGGATGACTGATGTTTTTCTTTGGTAAAGCTGGAGAGGAGCCCTGGGGCAATGGTGTGTTAAAGTTTGGATGCAAACAGTCACAAGATAGTGGCGATCGGAAGCACCAAGGGAGGACGACAAACACAATAGGTGTCTGGCGAAAGTCTTAGTAGAAGCCTCATTGTCCTTGGAATTGGTGTTTTAAAAGTTTTTCAAGATCAGCTTTTTGCTAATTGGACAGACTTTACATCATCGCTTTCTAATTGATCTTCTACCCATCTCCAGATATAAATGGAGCTTTGTAAAGTTCGTGGGAAAGGTCAGCTGGAGATGGTTTATCCAACATCATCTTTTAGACTCTGATTGTGTTTAATAGTTGACTATGACACCTACGCTCATTTTGATATTTTTTCTAGTTTCGTTTTACTTTCTTAACTGCGTCTTAACTTTAATATTTTAAATTTTCTTTTTCTAAATCTAAAATTTTGTTTTTTCCTCTACTCTTTATGAGCGTCGACATCAAAGTTCGGTGTTGCTGTTTCGACACTTACATAATTTGTTAAGTTCAATCATGTCTTTCCTTTTTGGGGGGGACTATTTCTGGGGCCTTACATATTTAACAGCAATATGACTACATGATTTCTTGAGAGATTTTTGTATGATTCCATAGCCACAAAGATATGAAACAATATCTCAAGAGCCATGTCTTGAAACTGTAATATAACAGTAATGACATTAATAATTCTAATATAAATAGTTCTAAGAAACATATCATAGAATTATAATTTTATGTAGTTACATTTTTAATGTTAATACCATTCCTAAGAAAAACAAAACAATGATTATTATATTTGAAGTATATTTAGCAGTTTTTTTTTAATTTTGGTTCAGATATTAAATATTGTAAATATAAATAATAATAATTTATATTTATAGTAATAATTAGTAAAAAGAATAATTTTGGATAATTGTGGTTTGTTTTTTGTTCATTATTTTAAACAAACAATTGTGAGAAAATTTGATATTTAAATTTGTCTTTATAACTATTAATTTAATGTTTTATCATTTTAGTGTAAAATTTGGCAAGAAAATGATGTATGTAAATTATCTTCATGAGTTAAGACATCATCTTCACTTTGAACAATTAGCTATTCCTAAACCTGTTCTAGAGTAAGTTTTACATTAACTAAGATAAATAAACTGTTTTTTGAATAGTTTCCTTTTATTTGTTAATGTGTTCTCAAATATAAAAATGCCTTTAAAACCCTTCAATTACCATATTCATTTTATTAAATTTTTGAACTATAACATTGTAGAAATAATTCTACTGTAGATTCAAATATCATATTTTATCATTGGATAGTTATATTAATTAATATTAAGCTCTGTGATATTTAAGAAATATAAAATTTGCTTATTGATAATAAAATGATGATATATAAGTATAAAACTGGCAAGCACACCATACAGCAAGCAGAGGTTGAGAGTTCAAACCGTGTCCTGAGCAGTTCTTTTCTTCCAGATGATTCTAAAATTATTTAATAAATTATTAAAATCATAATCATTAATTTAAATAAGAGATGGTGCCATATACCTCTAGTGACAAATTAAGTAGTATTCAATTATTAAATAGTGGATTTATAACCTGATTATTTAAGATGATCATTTGGTTATGTATATATATATACAGTGGTACCTCAGGATACGAAATTAATCCGTTCCGAAACTGAGATCGTATCATGAAAATGTCGTAAGGTGGATCATCTTTTCCCATACGATTACATGTAAAACCAAATAATTCGTTCCAACGCGAAAAACATACTCAAATTAAAGCCAAGT